TACTGTAGTACATGTATATACAGAACCATTTTTGAGTTATATAACTATATGCTTACTGTAGTACATGTATATACAGAACCATTTTTATGAGTTATATAAATATATGCTTACTGTAGTACATGTATATACAGAACCATTTTTATGAGTTATATAACTATATGCTTACTGTAGTACATTAATGTACAGAACCATCTTTATGAGTTATATAAATATATGCTTACTGTAGTACATGTATATACAGAACCATTTTTATGAGTTATATTATATAAATATATGCTTGGCAGTTTCCACTTTCTGAAAGATTATTTCACATTTTTTGCTATCCCTCAATTCCGTGATCATAACGTCCTCTGGACACCTCTACTTTATTGGGGAAAGGGTTAGAGTAAAATCAAGAAAGACAGCTTATCCATCCATGGAGTTCGTGATATGCTTCTATCTAGACAAGTGATTGTACCAACAATGTGACCTTGTGTTTTAATTGAAGCCTTCAAACCCGTGTACTCTACAGCTTACGAAACATGGCTTTAAATAAATCAGAACAATTAATATTCACAATGCAAGAAGAAGAAGAAACTAGAGTTATTTACCAGCCAATTTCTTTAATATGTTTGTTTTAGATATTCGCGCAAGGTTACACAAGAACTATCTACGCTAGTTTGAAACTACAGCTCAGAGTGAAGACAGCTAGTCAACTCTTCGGCAATTATAATAACACTGTGGCATTTGACCGTCACCCTTATAGTGCGATTTCTTTTCCTGCAACGAGTTGTGAACCATGGACCCTCGAACCAGATCCTGTTCATCGACAACCTCTGGCTTTTTTGTACAGAAATTGTTTTCCCATGTGAAATGTGTTACATAAAACCTGTTTTCAGTTCTAACCTTCGATCAAACATAATTATCATTATCACTCCAATAATGAGTGTAGCTAATTAAACATATCGTTCTTACTTGCTTAGTCATTAAGATCAGATTGTATTGTTTTAATATTAGGATATACAATGTACGTTACGATTACTAACCACAACCTAATCTTAGGATATTTTAAATAATAAAAGAAAATTTAAGACTGCTGCACGTCAATAATGAGGTAGTGACAGTCCAGTTGAACTGTTTACTTCAAACTGTGAAGCACTGAGTTGTCTAAAGTAACACATGGGTTGATAATAAAAACCTGACATAATCATAAGTACAATGTCAAAGAGGTCACAAACAAAACACAGTGTATGTATTCTTAGTTCATTACACGGGTGTAATATTATCAAGAAGACATGCAATCCCAAAACAATAATTAATTATAGCTGACACGCATGCGTCACCTTGAGTAACTGATGCGATAACAAGTTTAGAAATGTCTGGCTGATAATGACACGAGGAGCTAGAAAACTAACTTGGACAGAAATATCTTACAGCAGTACGTGTATTATGCTCGTTTCCAATAACGAAAGTGTTGCTAGAATAAGAATTGTGTATAAATGTCGGACTCCCAACAAATATTTAGTTTTCTAGGAGTGAAATGAAGTAGTCAAAAATGAATTCGTGCGGAAATGGATGCTGTCGGCACTGTTCTTCTATTTTTCAAAAAAGAAAAAACACTTGGAGCTTTAGGTGGGATATGTGAGCCACAGTCAAATCCCAAGAATTTGTGATAGGTGTTGTTCATATACTGCCTTCCCTCAAGTCTACCTGTTCAAAATTGGGGGTCTTACGACCACAGCCTGACACGCCTTATCACTAGACTACACCCTGTTCACATATGAAACATGTATTGCCACAAATACAAGCAATACTGTATTAGATGTCCGTCACTGATTGTTATTATGTTTCAGCAGTAAATGTATAGATAAAGAGCGCTCCTAAGCGATCATTATCGATAGTAATACATTTCATTGTTTATATTATCTAATTTAATTATTATAATAACTTCCCTCTTGTTTGAATTCAGATTGCATACACAATAAATGTTACTTTCTCGTGTCTCCCTCTAGCGGCGAGAAAACAAGTAGAACTACATTATTTGTGGTACAAAATGTTAGATTAAAGTACAAAGCGCCTCAACGAACACTATCGATAGTAATACATTTCCATTGTTTATATTATCTAATTCATTTGTTATATTAACCACCCTCTTCTTTGAATTCAGATTGCATACGCAACAAGTGTTACTTTCCCGTGTCCCCCTCTAGCGGCGAGAAAACTAGTCGAACTACATTATTTGTGGAACAAAATGCTAGATAAATAAAAAATAGTATATTTGTGCACAATAGTCTGAACTCAGCGAAATAATGATTTTCAAAACCAATTACAAATTCTCGGAATGATGCAAAATATTCAGATCCAGATTCTAGCAAAATAATTGTTACTGTATTCCTAATTTTTATGTCAAAATATTAGTAATTGCAATTATACAAACACACGCTTTTCTGCTCTAAATAGATGTGATACACTATATGATAGTACTCGCTGAGACACAGATACAACCTTCCTATTATAAAGTTATGGTATTTATCACATGGTAATACTTACTAAAACAAATACACAAGCTTCATATTCTAAAGTTATTTATCACATGGAAAAGAGGAAGGTTGTGTACCTGTTTTAGTAAGTATTACCATGTGATAAATAACTTTATAGTTGGAAGGTTGTGTATCTGTTTTAGTAAGTATTATCATGTGATAAATAACGTTATAGTTGGAATTTTAGTAAGTATTACCATGTGATAAATAACTTTCCTTCCTACTATAAAGTTATTTATCAATATGTCCTTTTAACTTACAACTGAAACGCTTCCTGTTTTGTTATGCATTTCCTCGTTGTGAATAAACAGTTCTCCAAGTAAAGGATTTTGTCTATAGTTCCTATGTTATTTTCAGTTAAAATTGGAAAATCTATTGTATTGTGTTTAATTCATCTGTTCTGAGTAAACAGTTGTCTAATTAATCCTTTTATTTCTTCTAGACTTCCATCAGAGAGATAGTTCATTTTTCAAACTAGTTGATCTGACGATTCTACAATTCCTGAATGATGTTTTAACTTGTTTACATGCAAATTCCCTTGATTGAATCTTCATCGTGAACTGTACAGCTACATCTCACTGTACATCTTTTATACCTTAATTAATTCGAATGTCTTCATCCATTATGGCATCTGTTAATTGGTCACTTGCAAGCGAATCCATCACTTCACGTGGAGCATGTGGGCGAGGTCATTGGACAAGTCTTTCCATATCTTCCACAAGTTCAGCTAAGGACGCATTTCTTTTCCCACCTTACCCTACTCCTGAACTTTGCTTTGGAAACCTCCTTCTGGTGTGTCACTCTAAACCTGAAGGATAAGGCAGCCACCAGCTGGTAGTTGTTACAGCTCTCAGCTGAAAGATTCCTAATGTTGTTAGTCTGGTCCTTTTAAATGGGCACCAAAATGAAATACTAATTGTGAACTATTCCATCCAATCAGATCGGAAACTGTTTCGAACTAAGCCTTTTACACTTTTCATGGTACCTTTCCACCATAGTCTCTTGGTTTCTAAATTGGATGATGTTGTTGAACTGACCAGCTAAATTCTGGAAATGCATTAGCTGGAGTTGTCCAAGAAAGTCATTCAAGCTAGCATTGCATTAATGGTAACAGATTTTAGACCAGATTCGTTCTAGTATTCCATATTTCATGTTAATGATGTTTGATATTGGATTTCTTAAGCAGATGCGAACATAGGCATGGTTGGTTTGGTCTTTGCATTTGCCAGTTCAGTTTCCAGATGCTTTATCCTGTCGTCGAAGTTCTTTTGTGTTTGGGTGTGATTGGTTTGATCCTTGCATATGATCACTGTTCCATCATTTCCAGTAAAGCTGCGACCTCACTTCGAGCACATGTCGTCATCTTGAAGTTCAGTCTGATATTTATCTTATTTTCACCAAAATAATTAGTTCCACTTCTGATACTAGTGCCGTAATGTATTTTTTATCGTTCGTTGGGCTCTTTGTACCATTCGGTAAACGTAATGAAAAGTTCAACCATTTAATGAAATGGAAAGCGTTTTATTTCTTCTATCACAAGATCTAAAAGCTCACAAGTCACAAGCCAAGTCACAGGTAAAACTTAACAGTCACTTAATTGTTGATTTCCTTTCGTCTCTAAACTGACGTCGCATCTGGTCATTACCAACAAGTGAAAAGTTTTAAATACGATTTTAAACTGTTTATATTTATGGCTGTTTTTCTATATTTTCCATTGTTGATTTCACATTTGACAAATATATCCGGAAATCGAAGAAGTTTAAGGAAACAGGTGATGTATAAATATTAGAAAGAAGGTTGTTTGTACTAAAGGACTTCGGTTAGCCCTGTGGATTTCAGAGTTAGCGAGCCGAGTTCGAATCCGTGTAATACCACAAATTCTCTTGAATTTAACCTGCGGTATAGTCAATTCTTTTCACGTGGATGGTGGTGGGTGTTAGGGTGCTGCTGACTGACTGTTTTCCATTTGGTCAATAGTTCAAAATTAAGAACAGCAATAGAGAGCCATAAATACAAAATAAAAGTACAAAGTCTCTACTATACTTTTCAAATGACTAAACTTTGCAATTAATATTTTACGAAACTCAACAGAATCTTCGGAATTTTAAACAGTCAGTTAATTATTAGTAGCAGAACATATTTTAATCGATTTAATGTTAGTTAATTAACTAGACATGAAATAAAATATGCTTTATTGCAGAACTGTACCTCAATCTCAAATGTTTTTAGTGTCTGGTTTGGTAAAATGAATAAAATATTACAAAACTGTATGCTACGCGTATTTGTAAGTTTGTAACTTGATCTTATACTGCATGTCCTTGGTAACGAACAAAGAGGTACAATTATAAATCAAAAATGTGCTTCTTCTTGTCCAAAAGAAACTGGATATAAATCACCCTTCTTTGCAGCGCCAACTTCAAGACGTCTGGCTAGATGAGGGGATGTTAAGCTAAGAATACCGGTCGCTGACACTAGTGATAGACGGTTTCGGAGCATGCGCAAGGAAATGACAAAAGCTGAATACAGACAAGGATTCTAACAATTCTTCCACACAAGAAAAACCGTTACACTATGAGCGATATTTTGTAGTTATCGCAATCTAAAAGGAAGTTATTTTTTATTGTTTTTCATGTTAATCATTGTCAGTTCAAAGTATGACGGCTGTTAATACACTATATTAGCAAATACAGTTATAAATTTATTTATCAGATAAAACAAAAATCCACAATAAAAGAAGCTGTAAAACTAAACTTAATATTTATCAATATTGAGACCAAATAGTACTGTATAAAAACGTTGGTCCAGATTTTGTAGTGCCATCGGACCTACTTTCTTCATCGTCGATAATGGTCAGTATGATGGCCATAATTACGCACAATTGCTCCAAATTCCGTGGTAATACCTTCCTCTTCCATTAAGTATTACTATTTCTTAAAACCGTATTTATCTTCATAAAAGGCCACTACCATCTTACAATTACCGTATGTACACATCTCTGTCCGTTTCATTCTAACCAAGTCAGTACATTTTATGTGAATCATAACAACGCGTACCTGTACCTGTGTATGAAACACTTGATACTTAACAACGTGTACCTGTACCTGTGTATGAAACACTTGATACTTAACAACGCGTACCTGTACCTGAAACACTTGATACTTAACAACGTGTACCTGTACATGAAACACTTGATACTTAACAACGTGTACCTGTACATGAAACACTTGATACTTTACAACGTGTACCTGTACCTGTGTATGAAACACTTGATACTTTACAACGTGTACCTGTACCTGTACATGAAACACTTGATACTTTACAACGTGTACCTGTACCTGTACATGAAACACTTGATACTTAACAACGTGTACCTGTACCTGTGTATGAAATACTTGATACTTAACGTGTACCTGTACCTGTGTATGAAACACTTGATACTTTACAACGTGTACCTGTACCTGTACATGAAACACTTGATACTTAACAACGTGTACCTGTAATTGTGTATGAAATACTTGATACTTAACAACGTGTACCTGTACCTGTACATGAAACACTTGATACTTAACGTGTACCTGTACCTTTGTATGAAACACTTGATACTTAACAACGTGTACCTGTAC